AGTGAGATTGCTTCCACTTACATGTTCTCATAATTTGTTTAATTTGTAAGGCACACAGGGTTTCCGATCATTTTAACATCTAAAAAGATAAAGTTAGCACTAGTAACATCTGGTAGTCTATTCATTTGCGAAGTTTATGTGTAACATTATAAACTGAGATTTAAAAATCTGACTCTCAAACAGATGCACCACAATGTGGCCCCAGTGAGATGCAACAGACACCATCAAACCCGCAGCTGGCAGACAGCAGGCTGCTGCCATGCACCCGTAGCATCCAGGAAGCAGGGAAAGAAGCGGGCACCATGCTAAAGACTTTGTGTCTTCACGAGGCATTCTCGCCAAACTCCAGGGCTGCTGGTGTTAATGTGTTCTACTCCCTTTCCAATGAATCTTCCGTGTTATAGATGAGTGCACAGAGAATGGCATTTTAGCTTCAACCACCCCACCGGAAGGAGGTTTTCTGTGAGATGCCTGTGAATGTCAAGGACCAGTCTGTGAGTGTCTAAGCAGCCTCTCCTCGTCTTCAGGCCTGGGATTGGAGCCCAGCACCTGGCCCCCACACACAGCTGTGATGCAGGTGGGTGACAAGGTTGGGGGAAGAAAAGCCACAGAGAGACCAGAAACTCTTCTGAGTCAATCTTTTCCACTTCCGCCCTCATGGGACCATTTACCAGAACTGCCCAAGATGGTCACCCTGAACTTAATCTCCCTGGGTTTTTCCAGCCTGACCACTAAACAAGATAAAGAAGCAAAGCAGCAGTAATGCCTGGGCAAGCCCCACAGTATCATCAACATCATCAGCATGATCTGCACGGAGGAAGAGCATGGCGCGACCTTAGCGAGTACAGCCATGAGAAAGAACCGAAGAGTGCATGGCTCACATTTCAGGGTGGGCCAGGGGGAACCTCTGAGTCACAAGTGCTATGAGGGGTCCCAGCTGGAGGCACAGACTCCATGAGAGGGGAGGGAAAAGAGAAGACTGCAGAGAGCAAGCTGGGACCAAAGGCACAGAGGCACCCCTCCTCCATGGCCTTGGTTGGAGCCAGAGGCAGAGGTATCCTGGAGGCGGCCAGGTAGCTGGCTTGACCACAGGGGCTCCTGCTGGTCCCCAAGGCTCTGTGTACTCTACACACCCCCACCTCTTTCGAACCTGATCGAAAGTAACCTCTAGCCATGTAGGGCTGCACATTTTTCTTTGCTTTAGGTCCTCTGTGGATGGATATTAAGGCACTACCAAGAGTTCCCCTTACCAGTCTTTAAAAAAAAAAAAAAATAGAACATCCAGATGGATGAACAAAATTGGCAAAGTATAACTGCTTGTGCACAAAGGGTGGAAGATTTGGAAGATGTTTATAAGCCAATCATCAGAGCCCAAGTGGGATAAAATTTTAGGTGATTTTTTTTTTTCTACTTTCTTATCTCTCTGATAATGATACAGGCATGTATCATTTTTTAAAAAATAGTGTTTTGTGCTCGCTTTGGCAACACATATACTAAAAAGTAGTATTTAAATTTGGAAAAATATTAAGCTAATATTTAAGAGGAGAAAACGGACTATGTGTGATTATGAAAACTATCGAAGACAGACTACATTTTTCAAACTGGAAGGAATGAAACCCAAACCTAATTGGCTTTGAAACTTAAACTACCAAACACATGCCCTGCACATCAGACTATGATGCTGATGAATGCCAAAAACTTAATTTACATACAGTAGGTAATTGGTGTGCATGACAACAGACACTGGCTGAGTTGCCAAACTACTAGGCCATGTATCATTTGGAGTTTAACAATTCATGCTATTAGCATTATTTTGCAAAAGATGGTTGGCTTGGGAGGAGATGCATAGAATGTATTACTCTTCCTGAAGCCCAGCTCATTTAACTGAGAAGTCCAATGAGGAGGACTCGGGCTTCACTTCATCCTTTTGGCCACATCTGAATATGCATGCTCGATCTCCCGGTCGGCAGGACAGGTGTTTGTGAACTCATCCCGGGCATAAGCGTTGTCCAAGTATCTCCAGATGCCAGTCATTTCAGGAGGAAATTCAAAATCTCTGTATTTCTTGGCCACAATCTGAAAATGAAGAGGAAACGATCAGCAAAGGTAAAACCCTCTGATGGAGGCAAGCATATCAAGCAATCCATTCTTTTGAGGCACACAGCTCAACCCTGATGTCATCTTACGGTCATCTGGCTACCCATGGTGACATTTTGACTTTGCATAATGAACATCATGGGGACAGAAAAAAGTGATAAAGAAATAGACTCAAAACTATAGCTCCATGCAGTCCTGCCCACCAAGTTGCCCAGATGATCCTTGGGTCTCGCCGGCACAGCTGTGCTGTCCTCTGCCTGTGTTTCCTGCAGTTTTCTTTTTGTGCAGTTGTCTTTAATGCTGCTATGTACCCAGTGCATAAAGATGCACAATGTGGGCCCAGGGAGATGGCTCAGTAGAATAAGCACTTGCCTGGCAAGCTCAAGGGCCTGAGTTCAATCCCCAGTTCAAAAAAAAAAAAAAAAAAAAAGATGCACAATGCATCTTCAGTGTGCTTGTAGGGGGATTGCTGTGAAGGGTCCTATGTCCTGCTTGCTGAGCCTCACCTCCCCCAGCCCTGGTGTCTGTGCACACTATTCCTGCAGACTTCATCATCCTACCGCTCTGCACTCATTTGATTCTGGGCCTCCCTCCCCCATAGAAGGACAAACTTGTGAGCAAGACAGACACAAGGCTTACCCAGGTGGAGACAGTGGTGGTAAGGAAAGGGGGACTGAGAGTGTGCTTCATAAGGACCCCTGCGGGTGTGAGAGGCAGAAGGAGCAGTCAGGAATTAGTCCCAGAGGAGAGTACATGACTGTATCAGTTTGCTCAGGCTGCCAGAGCCAAGCATCACAAACAAGATGGCTTAAAACAACAGAAAAGTAGACTGTCAAAGTCCCCACAGCCAGAACTTCAAACTCAAAGTGTCCGCAGGGCCCTGGAAGCACCCAGGAGGGATCTGTCCAGCCCTCTCCTTGCTCCTTGCTCCTCATGGCTCCTTAGTTTGCATAAGCTCAGCCGGGCCTACAAGGTGCTCTCCCAGCAGGAACACCTGATTTCAAACTCCCCCTTTTGCACTTCTTCATAGCTGTCTGCATGTGCAAAGACCTTGTCTTCAAACGATGTCACGCTCTGGGGTACAGGGTTAGGACCTCCACCTTCAAATTTGGCGTGCAGGGAGACACAATTAAATCTGTACCAGGGACCCAGGGCTACAACATCGGTTCTGCTCTGTCACCTCCGGTCTCCCTCTCCCTGCCACGTCTGCACGAAGGGAGCTCTGGATTCACCACAAGTTACATCTTCTGGGCTCGTTTCTCGGGATTTGGGGAGGATGGCAGCCACTAATGCAGGCTGGCAGCGAATTAGGGCCATAGGACTTCTATAAAATCTTTGAAGGGCTTAAGTTTTTAATCTAAATTCCAACTTACTGACGGGGACCCTTTGTCTATATTTGCCTTGATAGCTTTTGTCTCTCTTTTCATTTCACCATTGCTTAGTACATACATCTGTTAAGTACATTCCCTTTCTAGAGGGAATCTTGTTTTTATACTATATCACTGCCAGAATTGCTTCAGAAAAGGGGGCAAGTGTGTTCCAGGGGAGGGCAAGGGTTCTGAAGGAGACACATGGCACTGCCGCTTGCTGTCATAATTTCCTTTTACTTAAAACACACAGTATTTTTGGATCATACCTCATCTTCCAATGCTTTCCTAGTCCTATAATATTTGGTCTTAATACTAAATTAGACATAAATAAGTTCTCCGTTCATCACTTGTCCTTTTATAAAATGTGGTTTCCCCAGTCCAAGATTCTTATTTCGATTACCATCTTAATGTTTCATCATACAGCAATCTGATTTTTTTTTTTTTTTTTTTTTTTTTTGGTGCAGGGACTCATTATGTAGCCCAGACTCATAATGATCCTCCTGTTTTCTGCCTCCCTACTGCTGGGATTACAGGTGTATGCCACCACGCCTGGACTAGCAATCTTATTTTTTAACTTGGCAAGTGAGTGCTGACTAGGTGTCTCAGTAGAGGCTACAGTTTGTGAACATGTAAAACTGTTATATCACATATCCCTTGCTGTAATTCTCTGTAGATATTAACCAGTTTTATGAATTTTAATCTTATGAAGATATCTAAGGCCAGTTTGAATAAATTCCCTTTGCAGGTGGTTTTACAACTTAATATTATTATAACTGTTGCTATGATGATTATTGTCTGGATTTCTGTGGTTTTGCTGTGCACTGAATGTGTCCCTCCAAAATTCCTATGTCTGGGCCAACCAAATAGCTCAGTGGATTAAAGTGCCTACTTAGGTACTTACAGGGGCCAGAATTTGATCCCTGGGCCTGCCATGCTGGTCCCGTCCCTGGGGCTTGCTAAAACAGCAATTGAGATTGGGCGTGGTGGCGTGCGCCAATAATCCCAGCACTTGGGAGGCTGTAAACAGGAGGATCACTACGAGTCTGATCTGCACAGTGAGACCATGTACACCCTGTACAGCCTGTCTTAAATATAAAAAACAAAAATTGCTTTGTCAGAAGCATGGACCTCAGTGGAGGGACCTTAGGAAAGCAAGGCCTAGCGGGAGGTCACTGAGGGCACTGCCCTTAGAGGAGAGCCAGGTAACCAAGTTTATTCTCTCAAGAAGGTAGATATAGAAGAGCAGGATTGGCCGCATTCTGCTCACTGGCTTCCTGCCCTGGTTCTCTCCCACACCCGCTGCCACCCCTGGAATGCCATCTGCCATGAGGGGTAAGCCAATGCCATACCATGACCTTGGCCCTCCCCATCTGTGGTGAAATAAACTTCTTTTTCTCATCTATTACCCAGCCTCAAGTATTTCCTTACAGTAATGGAAAATGGGCTAATCCAACGCCCAAAGGATTTTTTTAACTCTCAAAGCTCAATGAAGTATCAAATGTATCTTAATTGCTAACTGTCCCTAAACATGTTATGTCAATTAAAGCAGAGGTTCAGATCCTTCTTTATTAAAATAATTTTTCCTTTTGAACTTCCTTTAAAATTTTTTTTTCCCTTCTCTGTTCTGTTTCCTGGAATCTTTTTAATTGCCTCTTCTGTTCTTCTCTATTTTAGAGGATTCTTTTCAGACCTCACCACCAAATCCCTGACTGATTTCTCCATCTTTTTTTCTGTTTCTTGTTATTTCTAGGAGAACTTTAGTTTTTGCAGTTACTTCATTTGTCTTTACTTGTATTTTTCTTAAGCTCTGCCAGTCTGATCTCTACTCCTTTGTAGCACTAAGCTTGACAAAACCTTGTATTTGTGTTTGAGATTTTTTTTCTGAAAAAAGCCCACTTTCTCTTTCATTTTCTGAGGTTACAGAAAACTCTAGCATGTTCTATAATGTACTGGAACAGGGCTGCTGCACCACAGGTGTACTTCTCATTTACTTTTTTGTGTTTCTTCCTTTTCTTGTCTATCCTTTTTTCTCCTCCCATCTTCCTCTTACCTATCTATGTACACAGAGGAACTACTCTGCTTTTTTCTGGTTAATAATTTTTTAATAAAGAAGACACATTTGGCCTTATCATTTGCTTTACAAATAGTGTGAAAGGGTCAGAAATGTGGATCGGTGGTAGAACACTTGCCTATCATAAATAGGCCTGAAATTTTATCCCAAGCAACACAACAAAAGATATAGAGGGGGGAGGGGGGGAGAGCGGGAGAGCGAGAGCCTAACACTGAAGCACTCATCCACCAGACACTGCCCTGCCCTAGGGACACACTCAGGTAAGGGTAGGGGCAGGTTGCGGTCCAGGCACCCTCCACTCCAAGGCCCACAGATCAGGCAGATGACCAGGGCTAGAAATGAAACTTGGGCAGTGCACGGTCTTTCAACTGGGAGGAAGCTTGGTCCTGGGCCCTGTTCCGCTGCCATGAGGCCAAATGTCACTTCCCTTCTTTTCACACACCCTGTCCCCTTACACCATTAGAAGAGGGACTGCATCATGGAGTATAAAGACAGCACCTCTGTGGCCTCCCCAATTCTCTCTCTAAAGATCCCAACTAGAAAGTATCTCTAGGGGATGTGTCCTTATCCTGTCATAGCCCACTGCATGTCCCAGCCCCCAAATAATAAAGTCTGGGTTGAGCATTTCAAGATTGCATTATTTACTTTTTGAGAACTACACACTTTATATAAAGAAAGGTGCTCCAGAACTGTGACAATTCACACTGGATGCCATTTCTCAGTCAATCAGGTTGTTGATCTGTCATTTGCCTTTACTTCTATGAATGATGAAACTCATGGGTTTTTTTTTGTTTTTTTGTACCAGGGATCAAACTTAGGTCCTCATGCTTGCCAGGCAGTTGCTTAAGCCACTGAGATATCTCCCCAGCTTAATGTTCTATTTTTATACTGCTTTCCCATGAGTTTCAGGAAGAAGAAATTATAGCTCCGTTCGCTCTTTCATTCTTTACCACAGTTCCCTCGGACGCACCCCATCCTGATGACCACGAGGCTGTTAGGTAGCTGGGGCACTAAAGGGCTTTGAAGGTTATGCTGCTTGGTCTTATATTGGGGGAGGGGCATGGAGTGCTTTATTTTACTGTGAAACTTATGCTTTCTATTGAATTGCAGGAGACTTCTTTATAGGAGCTAAACAAGAGGCAGGCAGTGCTACATAGCTAGGACATCGCTGTTGCTGGTACTCCACCTCCATGCACCTCCACAATGCTCCACTGCTCACGGCAGTGACCAAAGCACCCAAGGAAAGAGACTAAACTGAAACACTGTGACATAAATATCCTGCTGCAAAATGGCCCCCAAATCCAGCAGATTTTGAGAAGCTGAGAGGTTTTCATTAAATCTTGGATGTCAGCAACATCCTGAGGGCTTGCGTTTTCATTGGCATCTGTCAAGCACGACAGGGAAGACAGAAAAAAAGAGGCAGGGGCAGAGAGGGGAAGAAGGAGGAGTGTAGAGACCCAGGAAGAGAAATGCAAGACAGCAACAGCGAGTAGCCAGGAGAGGCTGATAAGTAGGAGTAACAACACCACAGACTGTGAGCATGACGTGGAACTTTTTTTAAAAAATATATGTTTATCAATGGCTGTTAATTTTATCTTAGGTTTCAATTTGTATAATACATTTTGGTCTCACGTTTCCCACATTTGCTTTCTACTTCTGTCTCCTTTTCCCTATTCCCTTCTTATTTTCTAAAAGTTTTCTCCCTTCTACTTTCATATTATCTTTTTCAGATTCCACATGTAAAGGAGAAAATATGATGCTTCTTTCTAAGTCTGGCTTATTTTGCTTAATATGATAATCTCCATCCATTTTCCTGTACATAACACAATTTTGCTCTTCCTTGTGGTTAAATAATACTCATTGGCTATACACAGCACAATTTTGTTGCTCATTCTCCTGTTGATGAATATCTAGATGGGTCCTTCATCAGGGCTACTGTGAACCGTGCCACACTGAAGGAATGAGGCTAAGCAGATACTAATGTGTAATATTTGGAAGACCAAGCAAGTGCCATCAGAACACCTGGTCCTTAATTTGTATCTTCCTGTGTCTCTCCTGTCACACCAGATCTTATACCAAGGATGTAGCTCACAAAACTTGGTTGGGTTTTAATAATCAAGATACCAGAGGACAAGGCATAGGTGTCTTCCTGTGTTTGCTAAGGCTCCAAGGACCTTGCAGTTGTGACCATGACAGTAACAATTGATGCCTGTATGTGATAAAGAGGCTGAACACTGTTGGAAAACAATGCTGGCCAACTGCCTGCAAATGCCATCCCTGGAAAGGGTGATGTTTATCTTCACAGTTCTCAACAATAGACTGAGTCCTCATTTTAATAAACTCAAACCCCCGCATCACCTCAAGCCTCAAAGGTTCCATGGAAACCTGTGAATTTCCTCAAGTTGCTTTCATGTAACTTTCCTCAAAGATCTTGAGGTCAGGCTGAGGAAAAGAGCAGTGAGGACAGGGATGGGGCAGGTGTACAGATGTTTCGAGAGAACTTCTGGAGCCGTCATGCCACGTATATGACCCTTGCGACTTGACTGCCTCAAACAGAAATGAGCCAGCTTTTAATTCGAAAGGGAAATAAAACAAAGCCTCAGTCATGCATTCAGCACAGGTCAGGAAGAAAGACCAACCTTAATAATGTGCAGCTTGGGTAAGAGGTTACAGTCAGCCAGCGTGAGCTCATCTCCATCCAAGAACTTCCTGCCAGAAACAGTGACATCCTCTGTGCTGTTGGCATCTATTTCATCAGGCAAGGGGCTGTTTAAGTAATTATCCAGCTTCTTCAGGGCCCGTAACAGGTTCTTTTCATAAACTAACACAGAAAGGCAAGAAGATCAGTGGTGCCGGTTAGTGTACCTCTCCCTCACAGTGAAGCAAGGACCGAGGGCTCATCCTTCCATCCTAAGATGGGCCACCCACCGGCAAGCCTGCCCCTACAGCTCTGAGTAAGGACTCACTTCCAGGAGGCTTGCTCCGCTGCCTATGTAACACCTCTAGCCCTTTGCTACTTCAAAAAATATTTATGGAAGCTTAAAATGAGATTAGCATGGCCAAAGCATTTTAAAATCTCTTGAGGCACATCTGGAACCAGCTCAGCGATGAGTATTTTCCCTAAGTGTTGTTTTCTGGATTCCCGACTTTTAGAAGGGCATGGTGTCTCAAAGTCAGGTGCAGAGGACACAACTGAAATTCCTTTTTTCCTTCTTTCTTGGTTCACATCTCTACTCTAAACTGCCCTAGACACAGAAAACTGGGAGGTGGGAGGTACTCACTCTCATTTGCATCCTTCTTGGTGTTTTTGATGAATGCTGAGAATTTGGCGAACACATCATTTCCTGCAGAGTTGGATTCAGGGTGTTGGGTCCCCAGCTTAGGGTACCTTGAAAAGTCCAAAATTAGAGGATCACAGGTAAGCAGCATTTGAGTGAGGACACTATCATGGAGAAAACTATATTTCTCTGGGTGGATGTAAAAATGAAAACCTCTTCTTGAGTATTTTCCTGTTCTTTATTCTTCAAAGTTGGGAAGCAGTGTGGCTTAGGAGAACTACTTTGGATGGAGAAATTTTATTTTATTGATGACCTGGCCTGGGGCCCAGGACACTGGGTTGTAAACTGGTGTAACAGTTTAATGAAGGTGATGGCTTAGAAGGGGCCTTCTGGGTCCCACACTCCATGAGGCCTCATGCTGACATGCAGCCTGACCTTCCAAGAGCACACCTGTGAGGTGCTGACCCCGGGGCCATCCCACCCTAGCTTCCTGCCCACAGGTACAGGGCAGGGAAGTCCAGACCACCCTCTACAAGACTTCTAGGCTGGCCTTGGTTTCTTGTGGCACATCACAGGGGATAACAAAGGCAGAAAGCACTGAGGCCTCAGGAAACTAAGCACATAGTCAAGAGCCTCAGAACAAATGGTCTGTTATTGGAGCGGAAGGTCCCCACCACATTCTACCCTCTGGCAATAGAAGGCCTACCTGGGGGGTGCTAACTTCTCCTCTAAGAACTCCTCGATCTTATTCACATCCGTCTGGACTTCACCATCAAAAGTCATAAAAGGTGGGTTTGTTCCAGGAGCCAGGTTTTGCAGGTCTGAGGGTTTCCTGGGTAGGAATGGACAGCAGCCTTTGTGGGCGGCCTTGAGGACTTGCATTCGATCCCAAGGCTTGGCAGTGTTCTCCCCCATACAGCCATAACCCTTGAGAATTTCAAAGTAGATTGTGGGTTTGTAGAAGGGCTTACTTGTGATAAAAGTGAAGATGGGATTTAACAAGTTGTGAGTTGGATTCATGTTTTTATGGCTCCTCTTGTGCATATAGAGGTGAAAATGTTAACTCTCACCGTGTTATGAGCCAGAAACAATGCTTGGATGGGCTTTTGAAAGGTTCCTTTTGAAAGGTTCCTGAGGACAGCAGGTCCTTATGGCCACCAACTCCTCCTCCTCCTCCTTCCCCTGACTACAAGACATCCGCTTCTATGAGGTCACTGTTTGGCCCAAAATGAAGCTTCACTTCAGCCTCCTGACCATTAGATATGCCCATGACACTGTCCCCGTAGGCCCTATGGGGTCTATATATGTGTGTACATGTATGCACACGTGCACGTGTAGGTGTATGTAGGGAACTATATCCAGTTGTTTCAACACTGCTAAAGCCTTGTCTTACCTTTTCAGATCCACTGTTGTGACATTAAATATAACACCCTTTAGCCAAAGAATCATAAAGAGACGCTGAGAAAATGGACAGTTTCCAATGCTCTCACCATCATAGCCAGCCTACAAATGGAAAAAGAGATCCTTATCAGAGCCAGCCCTACAGTTACAGATGCCAGACACCACAACACACACACAAAATCATTACAAATCTTTATGAATGGTAAGAGTACTGTAAGTAGCCTTCTGGGGCCATTTAGCTTAGCATACACGCCAGGTTGGAGGTGGTTGTGGAGGAGGGGGAGGACACACACACATGCACACATGCACTCATATATATATATATATATATATATATATATATATATATATATACACACACACACACACACACTCCACGTGGGGCCTTTCCCTTTCCTTCCTTACCTACCAGCTAACCACTTCCTGCTATGTGGGACCTCTGAGCAGAAGTTCAGAGGGAAAGTGGCAAGAGGGAACTCTGGCTGGATGGGATGGGGCACACCTGTAATCCCAGGACTTGGGAGGCTGAAGCAGGAAGATTGCTGTGAGTTTTCAGGCCAGCCTGGACTATGTAGTAAGCTCATGGCCAGACTGAAGTAAATAGCAGAACTTATCTCAAAAGAAAGAAAGAAAAATAGAGGGAACTCTCTTAATTACCAAGGCCAAAAAGAAAGTTATCCCTTTTCTCTCCCTCTAGTTTTTTTTTTTTTTTTTTTTTTTTTTCCTCCTTGTGGAACCAGGGATTGAACTCAGGCCCTTGTGCTTGCCAGGGAAGGGCTTATTCTACTGAGCCATCTCCCCAGCCCCTTCCCTTTAGCTCTTGATCCCCATCTTGTTTCAAAACTGACCGACTGACTCTTCCACTGACTCACCATCTCTAGCAGTCTCTACTGTGCTGGCTCACAGGGGTTCAGCTCCCATGAGTTCTGACATCCTTGGCCCCATAAAGTTTTTCTCTCTCCTCTTTTTTTTTTTTTTTCTGGAACCAGGGATTGAACTCGGGCCCTTGTGCTTGCCAGGGAAGCCCTTATTCTACTGAGCCATCTCCCCGGCCCTCACCCCTCTTCTGATTCAGGTGGTTATACAAAAACAAGACACGAAATACCTGCGTCTCTCATGTGCATGACACCACTGCTGGCATCCAGGCATGCAGCTCGAGAGAGCTAGTAATGCAACCCCACAAGATCACAGTCCTCCTGAGTGCTGGGGTCATGAATGTCACCACGCCTGGCTCTGACATTATTTTGCAATTTTGGTGATATTTTTCATGCCTGATGTGCAGTGGTAGAACTCAGACTATTCAGGCAATAGCGAAACACAGTGTAATGGGGTGCAGGGAGTTTGAACTCTGTTTTCTATGCATGCCACACACGGTTAGCCCAGTGCAAACTCAAAGCCCTTGTGTATCACCTTCTGAGAGCTTGCGCAACTTGGCAAGGAAGATGGCAATAGTATTTCAACCTGCCTGCACTTATGTGTGCCTGCAAAGACAGGTATTTAGTAAGCAGCCATGGAAGTATTCTTATTTGTTAATTTTAAGATTGTTATATCATTTAGTAAAATCTAATAAGCTAAAAATGTAAAAATAATAGAAGCTGCTAGTTATATTAAATATTTGATATAATGCCCAAATATGTTACATAACACTCAATAGGTCCCTGACAAGCCAAAAAGCTGGATAGCCATGATGTAAAATAGTTCTTTCTCACTTCCCCTAAGTGGATCTCACCCACTTATACTCAAAACATACATACAGGAACATTCTAGACAATTGTCCTCCATTCCTAGGACTTGTTGCAGAGTTGAAAGGTAGGTGTGGGGGATGACAGGAGAGATATCTGGAGATTTGCAATTCCTAGTACAATGGGTGATGGGATAAAGTTAACTAAGAAAATTGCAACATCTTCCTTTACCTTCTCCTGTCTCCCCATACCCTGATCTCTGACAAGGTCACATGCCTAATAACATGCTGCCCAAAGGCAAAGGGGTGGCTTGGACGCATCCTCACAACCTGCTGTGATGTGGACGTGGTGTGTCTCCCAGAGCTTCGTGGCTGGAAGCCTGGACCCAGAGGCGGCAAAGCTAAGAGGCTACACGGAACTTGAAGAAGTACACAGAGACCTAATGAAAGAAGACTGAGTCATTGGGGGTATAGTCCTCGAGGTCCATTTCTGCCACATACAATCAAAAGAAAGTGGGGAAGAAAGCAGTGCTATACTACAGAATAAGAGAAGGATATGGAGAAGAAAGTGAACTGCTATTTGGAAAGTGAAAGGAAAAGACGGCTGAAGAAAACTAGGCAGCATGAAGAGTACACTACAGGGGATTCTCTGACTTTCATGTTCGTAAGTCACCTTGGCAGGTTATTAATAAATGAAAAGACAAAATCCCGTAATGGCTGTTCCTAAAACTGAAGGGGATAATTAAGAGACAACTAAGTCTTAAAAGACTTAATCCCCAAAGAGGAAATCCAAGCAACCAGTAAGTACATGAAAAAGTTCTCAACATAAGTAGGCACCAAAGCAACGCAAGCTGAAGCCATGAGGAAACGCCACAATGCACTCATCAAAATGGCTCTAATTAAAAAGTCTGACAGTACCAAGGATAGGCGAGAATGCAGAGCAACTGGCATTTCTATTTACTGCTAAAAAGAGTGAAAATCAGTAAAGCTACTTGGGGAACTATTCAGTGGCTCTATACAAAGTTAAACATACATTTATTCTATGACACGGCAAGTCCACTCCTAACAGAAATGAGTGCTTATGGGCACCACACGATGCATGCCCAAATAATCTTAGCAACTTTACTATCCTGTCCTAAACCTGAAAGCAACCCAGAGACCCTCACAGTAGAATGACTAATCACACATGGTATATTCAAGCAGTAGAATATTACAATGGAAAAGAATCAGCTACCGCTATTAGCAATGGTGTGGATGCATTGTACCTACATAATCTTAAGAGCCTGAAAACAGATTCAAAAATCCTGTATAACTCATTGTAACTGGAGTATAAACAAATGGTCATTCCTCTGTGATTATGGAAGTCAGAAGAGCTGCTGCCCTGGTGTAACAGTTTAGATCTAGATGACCCCCCAAAGCCTCATGTTTTCATGAGTGGGGCCTTTGGAAGATCAATGGATTGTGGGAATGCTATAGGCGACTTGCTGCTAGGAGAGTCCAGTCAGAAGAGGCAGATCACTGGGCACATGACCTAGAAGGGATATCTTCATTCCCATTTCTTTTTCTCTCTGCTCTCAGGCCACCATGAAGGAAGAAGCTTTTGCTTCACCAACCCCTCAGCCATGCTGTTTCTTCCTGGGATCCAGCCAACTATGAACTGAAACATGAACCAAAATAAACCTCTCCTCATGTAAGTCATGGGTGACAGGTACTGTGTCCCAGTAACGAGAAAGTGGCTAAGATAGATCTCGGTGCTAGAGAAGCAGAGTGACGGCTACCTGACCACGTGGTTCAGAGCCTTTGAAACTGGTTCTCTTGGGGGATTTGGAAAGATTTGGAGATGCCAGCTAACGAACCCCTAAAATTCTGTGAACTGAGCTTGATGAAAGATTCTGGTCAGATTTCAGAAGCCCAGAATTCTGACAGAAAAGCAAACAGTAAAGTTTACAGTCAGGTTTCCATTGGAAAGAAAGACTACATTGAAAGTTGAATTTTGGGCCATGTGTGCTATCCTTTGGAAGAATATTTGTCTACATTTTACTCATTTTCTGAGACTTTGCAGAAGACTAAGATTAAGAGCAGTGGATTAATTAATCTGGCAGAGTAAATGTCAGAGCAGTTCAACATTCAAGCTGTGGAATGGGTACTGTTGGGGGCTTTTAACCAGCTTTACATTGCAAATCAAGAGCAAATGAGACAGCTGAGTGATTTTTAAAGTTTTCATTTTCCCTAGAAAATAAGTTTCTGTAATGTTCTGATAGAGGAGAGCATGGTTGCTGAGAAGATCAGCATTAAAAAGAAGCCAAGTATTTTATATCAGGAGAATCTTGGAAAGATACCTTGAAGGTGTATGAGAAAATAGCAAAACTTCACTTTTCACATGTTCAAGGGTGCAAAGTTGAAAGTGCTTTGAAAAGAAAGCCCCATAGCACACAGCAAAAGAAAGGCCACCTAGGGAATTAACTGTTTCACAATGCTTAAAGGCCTCTGCAACTATGATCTAAGGGGGCTACTCTGTGGGCTAGCAGCAGACCTGGGTATCATTTACATGGTGTATGTTACACACATACAGAAGGTGAAAGTTGTGGGGGTCATGAAAGCTTCTATCCAGATTCCAGAAAAGGCAAGATGACTCTCAGAAGGCCATGCATGAAGCTATGAGAGTAAAGCCAAAAGTGCAATAGAGTCCAGGAAGGTAGAGAAGCCAGAAAACTGGAAAGTCTGAGGAAAGCCACAGGTAGTTAGCAAAGCTAGCCCAAGAGAGATGTCATGACAGCTGCAACTGGTAATGCTGTTGGGAAGAGGCTATTTCCCAAGGTCTCTGTAGTTCATGTCTTTGCCTTAGGTGTTGGACACAGAGCTTTAGGGTTTACTGTCTTGCATGCTGTTTCACAGTAAAGCCAAGTACTTATATCAGGAGACTCTTGGAAAGATACCTTGAAGGTGTGTGTGAGAAATCAGCAAAATTTTACCTTTCACAAGTTCAAGGGTGCAAATTGAAAGACCACTTTGAGAAAAAAGCCCCATAGCACACAGCAAAAGAAAGGTCACCTAGGAAATTGACCCCACAATGCTTAGAGGTCTCAAAGGAAACTGGGATTTAGACTTTTCAGTAATGCTGTAACTACTAGAACTTGGGCAACTGTTAGAGATCAACAACACTGCATTTTGCATAAAGAGATATGCATGAGCCTTTTTTGACCCAGGGACTAAATGTTACAGCTTATATCTAGATGTCCCCCCTGAGCTTCCTGTGCATGCAGGAGCTTTTGGAATGTGAATTATGGGGACACTATGGCTGACTTGCTGTTATGAGGTGGGGTAACTTGGCATCCATGTCTCCCTTCTCACCTCCTCCCTTCCCTTTCTTAGCTCCCTGGCTAGATAATAGGAGAACAGGAGCAGGTTTCCCCCATCGTAC